ACCCCCACACCATGCTCCCCAGGTACCAGATTGCCAGGTGCCCGGTGATCTGAAGTGGGTTCAGGAGCAGCGCAGGGCCCTGCTGCTGTGTAGCCGGTGGGACGGGCCCGCAGTGAGACCAGCCCCAGGGGCCAGAGGGATGCCAACAGCACGCAGGGGTCCAGGCAGGAAAACCCTGGGGTTGGGGAGCCGCGCTGGGTGCTGAGAGGGTCAGGGGGATTCAGAGGAAGGGGAGCGGGGCTTGGGGAGCACTGTCCTGGCCAGGAAAGGGGGGGACAGCGGGGCCTGGGCTTCCACTTGGCGTGGCCTCGGGGTCTTCAGTTCTGCACCTGCTGAGGCCCTGTCCCCAGGTGGCTGGCCTCACCTTCAGCCCCGCAGTCCCCGGCTCAGCCCCTTGGTCCAGAGGGGCCCAGAGCCAGGACGAGACGGAGGGGCCGGCTGGCCAGCCACCTGGAAGGGCTGGGAGGCCTCAGCCCGGGTTTAACGCACTTGGAGTGAGTGGGAGTGACTTGAAGGGGAAGACGGTGCAGAAGGCAGGGGGGGAGGCAGGGGGAGCCTCAGAGATGGGGGTTCCCCGTCCGTCCCAGGGAGGCTGTGCCCTCAGCCCACATCAGGAGCCCGTTGTACAGACGAAAAACTCGAGGCTGGGCAGGTCAGGGCCAGTCTGTCCTCCCAGCGCTCTCGCTCGGAACCCCACGTCCGTGAAATCCTCTACCCGCCTTCCGTGTCTGCTGCCCCGTCCTCTACCCGCCCGGGGCCTCAGGCCAGACCAGGACCCCCTGGTGGCCCCTCGCCCAACACCAGAGCCCCCCTCCCCAGATCCCCACCATGGGCTGCTCTGGAGGCCGGCCTGGGGCCTCGGAGCACCTGACACCTGACGGGAGGCAGCTCCCCGGGGACACAGGTGGGGCCTGGGGAATGGGACCGGGCAGGGGGCGTTGGAGGAAGTGACTCAAAGGCAGGGGATGGGAAGGGGAGGAGGGAGCAGGGGTGAGACCCGGTGCGGGTCCTGCCCCAGCCACAGGCCCGGCTCTTGACCAGCCACGGGGCTCGGGAGGGAGCTCTGCCCGCCACCTGCTCTGCCCAGCTTGTTGGAGGCCAGTGTTAGCCAGGAGCAGAGCAAGGACGGGCACCACAGAAGGTCACCAGGGGGAAGCCCCAGGGGCCTCCCCGCCCCGCCCCTGCAGATCCTGGACCCCCTGACCTTTCCTCCCCGAGACACCCTCTAGGCCTCAAGTTGTAGTTCAGCTCCAGGCCCAGAGAAGCAACAAAACCAGCCCCGGCTGCCGACAGCTCAGCTGACAGCAGGACCAGCTGCATGAATAGGACCCCTGCCCTGGTGCCGCCAATCAGGGGAGGACACACCTGCAAGGACACTGACCGTCCCACCAGGTCTCCCCGGGGCCTCCCCTACAACCCCCACCCAGTGCGCTCCCCTCCCCAGAGCACCCCTGCCTTCTCCCGCCCCGGGCTGTACCATCACCTTCCTCACTCCCAAGCTCCACGGGCCCTTCCTTTGCCGCCATAACTTGTTCCCTAAGCCCGTTTTTTCTAGGAATTCCCTTTTCTCCCTCTGCGATTTACCCAATAAATGTCCTCTTACAGTTTAGCTCTTGGTTCCGAATTCTTTCCCAGCCAGAACCCAAGTGCCGAGGTTGCTGACCCCCGGTTTGGTCTGACCCCAGGGGTCACACCTGGTGCCGTGTGTCCCCCCCCACCCCAGCCAGCTGGGCCCAGCGGGGACACGGGATGACTGTGAGGATGGGATAAAGGCACAGAACGTGGGGGCAACAGGCACACCAAGCCCAGGAGAGCGAACGCTGCCCTAGGGACACCCCTCCCAGCTCTGCCTGGAGCTGAGGGACAGTCAGGGAGATCCCGGCTCAGGGCAGACCCGGGCGCTGGCCTTGGCCACATGCCGGGCCAAGCTCCTCGCTGACGCTGCACTTCTCCTACAACACC